TATTTATTTAAGTATAGTATATTTCACATCATCACAACCTTTTAAGGATTATTATTTTTAAAATTGTTATAAAGTCATTTTTGAAAAATTAAATATTTCTCATTACAAACTTGTTTGCTACTGTGAATAATGAATCTATTATGGTAAAACTCAATAACAAGTTATGAAGAAAATTTTAAAAATCGTTTATAATAATTATCAGCTTATTTGAGAGTTTAACTCATAATAGAATTTTGTTATGGTTAAACTAAGTAGAGAGTCACTATCAATTTATGTCATTTGAAACTTGAGTATCTGAAAAATTTATAGTTTTTGTAAATTTTTATTAGCTTAATAATCATCCAAAAGCTCCATTATATGTCAGGATACAATGATTTTAATATCACATTATTTCTTATCAAATCTTCTTTCCTATTCTAAACTTTGTTATCTTATTAACATATTTCCTTTAGTTATATTTCTTAAACTTATTTATGGTTTTTTGAATTAAGCACCTTTCATTCTTCAAAACTTTATAAAATGTATTCTAATTAATTATTGATTGAATTAAATCAACTTCTTCACTTCTCTGAATTTCTAACAACTAATCATAGTACAATTGGCATTTGGATATGGAAAAAAAAGTTCAAATAGTTCTAATAATGGCTGTTAACAAGAGCAATTTGAATGAGTTATTGAGAAAAAACTATAAGGCAATTAACAATTAAATTATCTTTATAATGATAAATTAATGAAATCATAAAAACAGTTCTAATATTTTTGACTAAAAGCAACAGATATCTTGAGTAGAAGATATTGTAAAAAATTGTCAGACAAAGCAATCGACCGCCCACCAAAAAAATCGCAATACTAATAACGCTAAAAACTCTTAAACCATCCTAATTAGTTTCCAAAACCTTAAGACATTTACTATCTTAAAAATCAGCCTCTACAACCTCATTATAGTACTATTCACCATCTATCAACTAAAGAAAATAAAGATAGAAAAGAAGTTGACTATTGCATTAACTTTTTAGACATCCTCCTTGGGAAACTCAACATAGACAGGTGATATCTCATACCTATCTATTTTTTAGGGATAACCATTTTGAAAGCCAGGAGTTTGAAGAAAAAAGCTTACTCAAGTCTATAGCAATAGGGCTGAGACACAAAAGATCTAACTTAAAAGATACCCATAATGTAGACATTTCTAACAAATCTAGCTATGGCTCTCATTGTTATAACCATACTTATTCATAATATCAAAGTTATACTTCTAATTTCCTCTTATTTAATTAACTTAGCTTCCGTCTCTTTTCAACATTTTAAAATTTCTTAATCTCATTCTAATATTAAGAGATCTTTAATTCGAATTAGACTCTCCATTTATCCTAAAAATTTACTACAAAAAATTCCTAATAGGTATTTATAAAGCGTTAACTAAGTTAAGACATCAGAAATAGCAACATGTTGTAAGTTTATCTTGTGTTAAGATGTGGACAGTTTATTAAAATAGTTTTTTATTAGATTTTGAAAATAAAAATAACACTTTCAAAAAAATGGAAAGATCATATGTGATCTCCTAGCACAATAAAAAATTTATATATATTAATTATTAAAAATGCATAACTCCTTCGAAATTAAAAAATTATATAAAACAAGTGCTCATAGCTAAAGTTTCTCTATACTCAAGAGATTATATTGATGGTTAATGCATACTATAGCGAATATAAAAATATGGTTTCTTAATAAGAATCTTATTATTAGTATCTTTTGATTTGATATCTGCTATAAAAAACAAAAATTTATCAGGGGATAAACACTTTTCTTTAAAAACTGATCATATAATCCAATCCTTAAGATTAAGATGATTCATTGTAATTTTATTTGACACTAATCATTGATAAACTTTCTAATTAAATAACATCATTTATGCTATTCTAGATTATAGATTTTTAAAATTCTAAATTAATTTATGGGTTTGTCAATCTCATATTACTATGTAAGTATCTTATATATTCATTCATCATTTGCCAAATAATTATGATTTCATATCTTGATACTTGTGATAATTTCCTCATTTTTAGTAAATCTCCGTATCTTTGATGATCATTAGCATTAAAATTTGTAAGAGTAATGTTAGTACAGCTACAATTTGACTATAATGTTCTTTAATTTTGGTGCTAAAAAGTGGTTAAGTTATTCCTTGCTCATTACATGCCAAATAATTTCTATCTTTAAGCATCATAAATTAAAAAAGGATGTGTTTTTTTTTGAAAATTTAAATGAAATTTTGTTATGGGACAACTTCGCCAAGTTGAGTTGAAACAAAACTTGCTTAGTAACTATTTCTTAATCTAAATATTTTTTTTAAGAAGCTTACATATATATTCATCAGGCTAACTTAAGTATTGCCCTTATTATTTTAAGTAGCTTTCTATAGGAATTACTTTGTAATAATTATAATTTATCCATTGTATCTTTCATTATCATCTCTGTTTCTCTTTATTATGCTCGACCACCTTGTATGAGTTTAAATATGATTTTTAATGGCTTTAAATCATTTTAATTACTTCAAAAATGTATTAAGCAAGAATAGCGCTCTATTTCTAATTTGAATATGATATTTGGAAAATCTTAAGTTATTAAAACAAAAAAAACTTTTTAATTTTCTGTGTTTATATTTATTCCTATTTTTTATTTTAACTCAATACTTAAAAAACAAACCTAATAAATAATAATCTAATATTTTTAAGATTTTATAATATATTTATATTACTTGTTGAATTAAATATCTGCCTTTGATTATTTTTTTATGAATAACTTTTCATTCTTAATAATTGATAAAAATATTTCTAACATTAATTAATTATATAAGTATAAGTAAGCATTATATGATTAAAAATTGATCTAATTTGATTTGATCAATAATTTAGAAAGTCAACTGGATAATAATAGAATATTTTAGATTGAAATATTATTGTGATTTGCATTATAAATTAATGATATTTAAGTTTAAAGATAAATAATTAATTATTATTATTATTTTAATTTTTTAAGATATAAATGGAATTCTTTAAGTGTAAATACTTAAATCATGAAAATGAAGAAATAATGGGATTTTGTTTGAATCAGAATTGTTAAAATGCAACATAATATTGTTATGAATGTTTAACTACGACTCATTCAGATCATTTAAATGATTGCATTCGATTCT